ATCCCCCCACCCGCAGGGAGATTCCCCAACACACCCAGAGAGCCCCCAATCCTGCCTCACACTGAACCCTGTTCCCTAACCCCCACTCCCCACCACAACCACTAGACCCCACTCCCCTGCCAGAGCTGGGGACAGAACCCAGGAACAGGCAACACAAGGGGGGGGGGGGGACATGCAGGGTCACATGACTCCCCCGATTGCTCGATCACATGGTGCAGCCGGGCTCCTCCCTGTGGAGCAGCTGAGCTGGGGAGCTGCGCTGGACAGGGAGAGGCAGAGGCAGAAGTGGAGGAACAGCTGGGAGCTGCAGGGGGGGTCACTGCTTTCCGGGGCAGGGGCATGGTGTGACTCCAGCTGTTCTGGGATTGTGCCCCTCCACTGTCAGCAGGCCCAGGTCATCTCTGAGGGGTCCTGGCTCCCAACCCCAATCCCACCCCCAGAGCCGGGGACAGAACCCAGAAGCCCTGTGACCCAGGCAGGTCGATCGGGAGGGGGAGGAGTCGGGTTCCTACCTGCTCGGTCTCGGTGCGGCTCCTTTTCCTGCAGAGGGACACAAACCTGAATCCCTCATGAGTCGATCAGGATCCCCCGGTCCCAGTGCCCGGCCACTCACCCCCCACAGGGCAGCAGGGATGGGGGTGTCTGGGGGAGTCCCCTCTGCTGCTGGTGCTGAGCCTGGATCCCTGCTCAGGTGGGCCAGACCGGCAGGGGGCAGCGCAACACCATAGCATGCACCAGGGGGAGGGGCAGAATAATTCAGGGGGCTTTTCCTGTCCCCAAACCTCCCTTGTTACTGACTCGTTATAATGAACCTGATCCGTAGGTTGGCTCCTCTGGCACCCCAGGTACCTGAGAGGCACGGTGCCGGTGGCTCGTTATACAGGAACTGCTTGCCCGGTGCTGAGATGCAGCTACCTCTGGGGTGGGGCACGGGGAATGCTTATATAGGGATCCCTCAGCCGGCACTAAGAAGAGGCCCCTCTGGGGTGGGACAGCTGTGTACAGGGATTACTCATGCAACAGCGCCCCCTGCTGAGCCCCCATCCCTGTTCCTTGGCTTTCCCAGCACTGTCCCCCATCCAAGCCGTGACCCCATCCCATCCTGCTTAGCGGCAGGTTTAACCCTTCCCTCGCTGGGCGGGGCACTCACTGGCTCGGGTTTTTCTGAAGCAGATGAAGGCCACGAGGAGGAGCAGGAGGAGGACGGTGGCCGCTGCGCTCACCCCAGCGATGATGGGGCTGGTCAGACCCGGAGGTGCCAGCGATTTCGATCCGCCTGGGAAACAGCAGCAGCCGTGAGTGCCGGGGGCGGCTGGTCTGTTGCCCCCCCTCCCAGCCCCTCTCACCCCAGGCAGCGCCCAAGGGACTGGGACACCGCAGGGCGCAGGCAGCAGAAAATTCTATGGGAAGGATGTTGGGGGGGCCCAGGGCATCAAGTGGGGTTATAGCCAGCAAGATTTGGGGGATTTGTAGCACTAGGGGATGTTGGGCTGCAGTTGACGGGGGGCTCAGTAGGGGGCGCTCTCCCCATCAGTCAGGGCTGGCCCCATTGCCCCAGCACGGCGCTAGGGGGCGCTGTCTGATCCAGCCTGGCCGACATTTCTGAGGCATTTCACCCCCTTCCTCACGGCCACACCGGCTCAGGCCAACGGGCCCATCTAGCCCGGTATCCCGCCTCCCATGCTGGCTGCTCCTGGCTGCTTTGCAAGGAGCTCCAGGGCACCGCCCTCCCCCTCCGCCCATGGCCGTTAGTGGTGGGTTCGTGTCTGAGCAGGAGGCTTCTCTCCCCTCCCAAATCTGTTGGCGGGGGAGAGTCACTGCCCCTGAGAACAGCCTCCATCCCTCCCCCTGGGCAACCACTGGGGGAAGCTGCCCCATAATCTGTGACTCAATAGATTCCCCCCAGCCCGGTACCTGACCCCGTGCTGTCCGGGCGTGTGGGAGCCGGCACCGCTCCAGGCTGGGTCAGGTCGGTTCTCCCTGCCGGACTAGAACCAGCATCTGTCGGGGCAGGGGGAAGGGCTGAAACACTGGCTCAGAGATCTCCCCCCACCCTCCGAAGACCAGTGGTGGATCAACCACTGGGCCTACGGGGCCCATGCCCAGGGGCCCCAGCCAAGTGTGGGGCCCCGGAGCCCCAGCCGCCAGGTGAGCAGGACAGGAGAAGCCCCAGCACCCCAACCTCCATATGTGCCAACTTCCACTGTTCCCACTGAGTGCTCGACCCCCCTCCCCGCCCCCATTCCGCCCCTTCCCCAAAGTCCCCACCCGCTTCCGGGCCACATTCCACCCCCTTCCCCCAAGTCCCTGTCCCTTCTCTGCCTCCTACGCTGAACGCACCGTGTCCCTGCTCCTCCTCCTCCCTCCTGGAAAGTCCTAAGCGCCGCCAAACAGCTGTTTGACAGCGGGAAGCGCTGGGAGGTAGGCAGAGGAGCGAGGACACGGTGCGCTCAGGGGAAGGTTGGGGGAGGGGAGCTTGGCTGCCAGTGGGGTACAGAGCACCCACTAAATTTTCCCCAGAGTCAGGTCCTATGCAACCCTGGTCCCTGGCAGAAGCATGGAGGGAGGGGGCAGGGGAAGCCTTAGCACCGGAACCTCCGCTGCGGCCCCAGGACAGGAGGAGTTCTCGCTACTGTCATGGCCTCAGAACTGGGGAACTCTCACTCCCCACTGCGCCCTGGGGCCAAGGCGGGGGGACAGAGCTTCTTTGGGCTGGGGGCCACAGTCGGGGGGGCCATAAAGTAGCAAATGGGTTATGGGGCTGCAGTGGGGGGAGGGAATGGGGTGGGACCATGGGTGGAATAGGGGCGGTGCCCCGGGGAAGGGGCAGAAAGGGGTGGGGCT